ACCCTGCGATTTTGCAAGTTCTCCCACTTAGAAATCATGGAGGGGTCTGAAATTCACATTGTAGGTGCATTCCCACTCTGAGAGACAGAATTTAAAAAAAAAATTCAGGAGATCACATTGTATGATTTTTAAAGAATTTATTTGTCTTGCACTGCTGAACATAAGTATTTGAACACATAGAGAAACAGCAAGAATTCTGGCTCCCAAAGACCTGTTACTGTGCCTTTAAAAAGTCCACCTCTACTCCACTCATTAATCTAACTTAGTAGCACCTGTCTGAGCTCTTTAAAGACACCTGTCCACCCCACAGTCAGTCAGACGCCAACTACTACCATGGGCAAGACTAAAGAGCTGTCAAAAGACACCAGAGACAAAATTGTGGACCTCCACAAGGCTGGAAAGGGCTACGGGGGCAATTGCCAAGCAGCTTGGTGAAAATAGATCAACTGTTGGAGCAATTGTTAGAAAATGGAAGAGGCTAAAGATGACTGTCAGTCTCCCTCGGACTGGGGCTCCATGCAAGATCTCACCTCATGGGTTATCACTGATGATAAGAAAGGTGAGGAATCAGCCCAGAACTACAAGGGAGGAGCTGGTCAATGACATGAAGAGAGCTGGGACCGCGGTTTCAAAGGTCACTGTCGGTAGAACACTACGCCGTCATTGTTTCAAATCATGTATTGCACGGAAGGTTCCCCTGCTCAAGTCATCACATGTCCAGGCCCGTCTGAAGTTTGCCAATGACCATCTGGATGATTCAGAGGAGGCATGGGAGAAAGTCATGTGGTCAGATGAGACCAAAGTAGAACTTTTTGGTCTAAACTTCACTCGACGTGTTTGAAGGAAAAAGAAGGATGAGTTGCATCCCAAGAACACCATACCTACTGTGAAGCATGGGGGTGGTAACATCATGCTTTGGGGGTGCTTTTCTGCAAAGGGGACAGGACGACTGCACTGTATTAAGGAGAGGATGAATGGGGCCATTTATTGTGCGATTTTTAGCAACAACCTCCTTCATTCAGTCAGAGCATTGAAGATTGGTCGGAGCTGGGTCTTTCAACATGACAGCGACCCAAAGCACACAGCCAGGATAACCAAGGACTGGCTCCGTAAGAAGCATATAAAGGTTCTGGAGTGGCCTAGCCAGTCTCCAGACCTAAATCCAATAGAATATCTTTGGAGGGAGCTGAAAACTCTGTGTTGCTCAGCGACAGCCCCGAAACCTGACAGATCTAGAGGAGATCTGTGTGGAGGAGTGGACCAAAATCCCTGTTGCAGTGTGTGCATACCTGGTCAAGAACTACAGGAAACGTCTGACCTCTGTAATTGCAAACAAAGGCTTCTGTACCAAATATTAACACTGATTTTCCCAGGTGTTCAAATACTTATGTTCAGCAGTGCAAGACAAATAAATTCTTTAAAAGTCATACAATGTGATTTCCTGAATTTCCTTTTTTTAAATGCTGTCTCTCAGAGAGGGAATGCACCTACAATGTGAATTTCAGACCCCTCCATGATTTCTAAGTGGGAGAACTTGTAAAATCGCAGGGTGTTCAAATACTTCTGTTTCTCACTGTGTGTGTGTGTATATATATATATATATATATATATATATATATTATATATTATATATATACACACACATACATACATATATAACCACTATAAAATCCCTTTTAAGTGTTAAACATCGAGATGTTGGATGTTTGCAGCTAATTTATAACTGCTGTTGGCCTTTTTTTTTTAAAATTATGCCTGGAAACCGTGCTCTCAAAAGTTAGATTATTTTGCTTCGGAAACATGGCAGTGCCTAGTGGGGGAAATAAGTCATTGGGGAAAGGCTAAAGAAGAGTTTCACTAATTATGTACCTTTGAGTTGTTTATAAGCTAGTTTATATTTGGCAGTGGTTTCTGTAAATTTTGGCAAAGGAAAAGGCTTTTTAAAAAAGTTGGCAACTGCAATGTTTCACAATAGACTTTAATTAATGCACTATTTATGGGTTACCACATTTAATGACCCATCAGAGCCAATCAGATGTCAAATTTCAGCAGTTTATTGTACTCAGTCTGGTGAAAAATGATTTCTATATCAACAAATATATGCAGTAAAGGGGAAAAAAAAAAACTGTATACAATTTATGTTTAAAGAAGTTACTAGCTATTATTTTTTACTTTACACTGTTTTTTCCTTTAAATAATGCGTCAGGTATGGCGGACTTTAAAAAGTGAAAAATACACAGATTAGTATGAAAATAGAGGATCTTCAAAGATGACCCTGGCAGATATAAAAAAGACACACACCATTTCAATACCTGAATACCTGAACACTCCCCCCCCCCCCCCCCCCCCCCCCCCTTCTTGCCCAGGTCAATTTTCAGCGTTCAGAGCTGTCACACTTTGAATGTCAGGTGCTCAGTCATGCAACGCTGTATCCAACTGACATTTTTATCACTTTTTTGAGACAGATACAGCTTTTTTGGTGGTATTTGATAACCACTGTTTTTTTTTGGTATATAAATGAATTTATACTGAAATGTTTGGAAAAAAAAACATCTTTTTCTTTGTCTCTGTTATAAAATTGTGCAAATCAATACTTTTTCTTCATACATTTTCTGCTCCATTTCTTTGGTAAAAATAACCCAAATTGGTGCATATTATTTAGTCAGTGTGAAAGTTAAATAGTCTACAAACTATGGGATATATATTTGAAAATTGGTCGGTCCTGATGTATTGACAACTTATTTTTGAAGTCCTAAAATGCCAGAATAGTACAAATACCCCCAGAATGACCCCTTTATGGAAAATAGACAGCCTGCGGTATTTAGACTGAAGTATTTAGCAAGAGGCATGGTGAGTTTTTTGAAGTTGTAATTTTTTTGCCACAATTTTTTTTGAAAATGAAAAAAAATCTATTTTTTTAAAACATTTTTTACATACTATCACCAGAACAATACATCATCGTCATATGACTGGTGTGGCGGTGATTAGGGATACTGACTGGTGACTGTAAAAAAAAAAAAAAAAAAATGTTTTTATATTTTTTCTTTTTTTTTTTATATACTGTGACCAAAACAGTGCAGTGTTACCATAGTAACAGTGCACTACTCTGGATTTTTTTTTTACACTATGATTGCTTATAACAGTGATGATCACTGAATGTCATCTATTCATAGCCAGTATGTACTATTGTGAGAGCTGTGATTGGCCACAGCTATCGCATGGTACAGATGCTCTGTGATTGCCCTTGTCTGTACCATGTGATCTCTGTGACCAATCACAGAGATCATCACAATAGTGCACAATGAATGTCTATGAATGAAAGCCATGCAATGCGCACAAATATCATGTGATCATTGTGATTGGTCACAGTGATCACATGGTACCAGGACCGACGTGGTACAATGATCTGTTATCCACTATGTCCCATGGATACGGCAGGTGACAGATCATGCCACAGTGCAGCCGCTAGAGTATGCGACTGAGAGGATGTCTGTTATGGACCACCTGGTGTACTCTAGCAGTCCCCAGGACAGGATTCCCCAGGGCGCGGAGTCTAAGCCCCAGTCCGCTTGTTCACCAGAGCCCCTGATGGTGGGGATGGGCTTGGAGCGGACAGTGACCAGGTTGCGGCCCCTGAGTACACCCACCTGAGGTAGAGGAATCACCAGAGGTAATGACAGGTAGAGAGCCTGACGTGAAGAGGCAGACAGGTCTGGAGAGTAGCAGCTAATCCGTGCGGGTCAGATGGATGGCTGAGCAATAGCGTGGTCAAACGGGCCAGGTCGGTAACAGAGGGGTCAGCGTAGTACAAGGCAGCAGGCAGAAGAATAGTCAGGTCACTCGCCGGGGTCAGTACCAGTAGTTCAGATCAGGTAGGGATATCCAAAAAGAGAGGTCAAACTTAGCCAGGGGTCAGAGCAGGAGAAGTCAGCAGAGGTCAGGTCCAGGCAAGTCAGCAACGAATCTCAAACAACAGGAACACAGGAACCAGATCGGACCATACGGCAACTTGTGTCTGTGCAGGGCTGGTTTAAGTAGCCTGCCCTGCACCTGACAGGCGCAGCCTAGGTCCTAGTGCCTGCCCAGCACCGTCATAGGCGATGGGTGCACCTGGGTCCTAGTGCCCTGATGCCTGCATGTCTTGACAGACACCTACGCATGTGCAGACCCATGCGTCGCGATGGTCCCTGACAATGTCATATGATGTCCCTCCGAAACCAAACAGTTCCCGCACTGCCATCATTTGTCGCCTTTTTCATCACTAGTTGCATCTCAGTGCTGCTGATCTCCTGCAGCCTTTTTGTAACCAAGTCCTGTCTATATGCATGAATGAATGGTATTTCTCAGGGTGGGTTTCCCAATGAAAATAATGGTCCATGCCTGTGTATTGTATGTTGAAATGGCCACTTATAGCCTTCTCAAAAACCCATGTGACAGCATGATATTTCAGAAGCACTGCTGGAGGCAGGGATAGGGTATGTCATACCTATATCAGAAGGCCCTGAACAAGGATCTGAAGGACAGGTATTATTTTAATAAAAGCTGCAGACTGAAAATTTTTTAAAATGATTTGAAAACAACATCAATGTGTTAAGGCTTATATGGCATTTTTGTAGTTGTGACATTGTATACTTTACAGCTATATTTTTTAATGCAGTGCTCAGACAGGGTGAGGGAGGGGCAGGACTGGAAGCTAGTCGGGTATGCTGAAAGTGTAGTGACAAGAAGCAAGCTGGCAGAAGAAGAGAGCAAAGTAAAGAGAGAGATGCCCTTCACTGTCCAATCAGCAAGCTGGGGATGGAGAGATGACACCCACTATTTTCCTTACCTGTAACACACAAAGTGGGGTCATCTGCTTGGCTGTGAGTGAATCTCAGGACCAAATCAACAGAAATGCAAATAGCTTGCCAAGTTAAACAGTTTCCTTATGTGCATTTCATTTGTGTAATAAGGATTTTCCTGTAGGTCAGCTGTAATAAATAAGCCCCTCTGTTTTTCAGTGGTTTGAACTGGAGCTGGGGATGGGCCTCTGCAGGGAGCAGCATTTTAGCAGAATTTGGGACTTTACATTTGGAATTCTTGAAACTCAGTGAGCTGTCTGGAGATCCAGTGTTTATTGAGAAGGTAACTTGTCCTGTCTTTCATGCTTATGTCATATTTATATTGATCTTTGACTATTAAATGAAGAATTAGACTTCTTTATAGTAAAATATATACTACTTACATGTGAAGAAGTAATTAATTGCCAGTTTTAAACCATTTCCAAACACAATATTTCTGGCAGGTGAACACCATCAGGAAAACCTTGAAGAAAATGGAAAAACCCACATGGATTGTATCCTAATTATTTCAGCCCTGTCAGTGGCAGCTGGGTTCAGCGTATGTATAGTTATATTTTAATTAGTCTATGTCATATTAGAATTCTTGCACTGGTCAAAAATTTTACCTGAAAGCTTTGTGGTTTGTATGTTAATAATTTACTTTTGAATGATGACCAAATAATTTCTTTCCAACCTCAGTACCTTTAGTGCCATACAGCCTCCTCTGAACATCTTCACTGTTGATTCCTGCATATGTGCTCCATGATTGCCATTAAATACCATGATGTGTTAGTACTCTGCTGGAATATGGAGCATGATTTCTCTATAGAACTACATAGAAAATGCAGCATGAGCGTGTTCGACCTAACAATGAATATTTTTCAAATTAGGCTGTGCAGTGCCAAGGCTGCCATCCAGCTAAGATCTCATCACAGCAGGGAAAGGTATCTATATAACTTGGAGAAGGGCTGTGGATGTCCATTGAAGTGGAAATAAAGCTTGCCTCAGAAAATACAATAAAGAAAAATTAAAACACCTGTTTTGTGGGGGGTGCAAGCTTCTGGGAAACCAATGAGTCAGTCTCCCAACCGTTCCTTCTTCCTCTATAGAGATCACTGATTTGCTGATTCAAATCAATGCACAGTCTGAAAATTATTAAAAGCGGATTATATTTTTTTTCTGGAAAGCCTTCAGGATTTTGTCAGAAAATGAATATAGGCGATGGAGTGCCCCTTATCTATGTGGGCATCTATGGCTATATTATAGGTGTTTCTGTCACTATAACATGAGGGCCTAGCTAAGTAAAGTTATTATAGTGAATAGTGTTGTCAAAGGATACTTGTAGTCAACTGACCATAGCAATGATATGTTGGCCATGCAGAGGTGACTGCACATACTTTTTGTCTTGAAATCCATTGATCCTTTCATGCAAATAATGTAAATTTCATTGTAAATTGTGGTTCTTGGTCTCTACCTGCCCCCCTCCTCTGATGCCTTGCTATGCCTTGCTTTGATTAAGATTGTTGTCCTCACAGACCAATAACAAGGTGCAGAATAGGGAAGAGGGTAGAGTCAATTGGGAATTTTGGTATTTTTGCTGAGCTGTCCATTCTCTGATTGAAATTTGGTCATTTCAGGAAGAGCCTGCTGAATTTTAATCAGTGTGCACCATCCCCATTCAACACAAATCTGTCATTTGATTGACTTCTGTTGAAGGGACACATTGGGAAATTGGTGGCTGCAGTCACTGATCAGTGTGTAGCCCTACTCCTGTAGAAGCCACTGTATTACTGTCCAGGACTTTCTTCTTTTTCTAGTAGCCAGGATCAAGGTGGTTCCACAGCCAGGTACACAGACACATTAATTTTTTGTCTTCAGTAATCAGTCTAAGGGTTGTCGTTTTTGTAGTTTTATTGTTGGAGAACTTGGATAGGGAGAAGGGGATTTGGTAGGATACTCCAAGAATAGAACTAGTTACATGTGAGGACAGAACTTCCTTAAATAGCAGCCTTGAGCAAAGTCCCAATTTTCATAAAGGGGTTAAACGGACATTGTTCTTCAGGACACTAGCCAGTGAATCCTTTTTTTTCCCCATCCACGCTGACAATACAGCACCAGATGGGTAGCAAAGCACACAGATTCCCCAAGATCCCACCGTGTCTGTACTCACAAGGCCTAAGGACAGAATGGTAGCCTCCTTCCTTTTTACCAAGCTGTGCCCTCAAGTGATACCAGACAGATCTCTCGTAGACAGCTCCCTTTACTCAGCTTTCTGAAGAACCAGGGTCACTCTTTGTCTTACTTCAGGCCCTCAGGTTGCCCACCTAAGGCCGCATGGCAACAGGTGCCTGCGGATTTAACATGCCTACCGCAGGCTGGTACAATCCTCTCCAGGAGAGACCCAGGGCTCAGTGTGCCCAAGGAATAAATACCCTCTCCCAGCATCCTTCAGGGCTACACTATCTGGCATTGGCTGGAGCGGCATTAATATTCATACTGTGTTCTGCATGAGTTCCACCTATACATCCAGAACCTTTCTAGGTTACTTGGATACAGAGGAAGTCAGAGGCAGAACTAGCAGCATTTGAACACACTGAGCAGGCATTACTAAACAATTGCAGCTCTCTGTTAAGCAGAAAACCTAATTAGATTTTCCTAACTGTTCTTCTGTTAAGCAGAGGAACCAACTATAATCTACTTATCATAGCACCTATCTAGGAGGGTGCTACAAGTGTACTCTGACAGCATTGCATACCCCTGTTAGAATACAATATTCAGAGACACAAATTACATGGATGGAGGCCTTTGATGGGGAAATTTTGGGGCTAAATAAGAAAAAAAAAATAACAGAGTATAACCAGATTAAGAGAGTGGCTCAGCCTTCAGGGCATTTGCAGATAACTTTGCATATATGCAGCATTTCATTGCTATAGTCAGCTGAGGTTTAGTTGACTATAGATTCACTTTAATGTCTAACCATGTTTTACATTTCATTATATTTTACTAACTGTAGAACGGAAATTTTTCTCTTGCTTCTCTTTTTATTCACTAAGCCCATAGTGACTTGTCAGATGTAATTAGAAGCTTTAGACTTAACCTAATGTAATTTTCTTTGAACATTGCGGAGCTAGTATGTAAAAGACATTGTATTAGAACACTTAATTATGAACTGACAATTTTGAAATGACAATGCTGAGAAGGGATTGGAATTTAAGAGGTGCTTGGCATGGATACTTAACATCAAGATTTGCATGCGCACAAATGAAATGTCGGATTAAATTCTTTATCATCCTTTCTCTACAAAATTGTGTGTCACTTCTCCCACTATAGATCATGTGTCTCTTGGAGGACTTGGTGACAGCTTCTATGAATACTTAATCAAGTCTTGGCTGATGTCAGCTAAACAAGATAATGAAGCAAAGGGCATGTACTATGAAGCTGTGGAGGTAAGAAACAAGCTTTGTGTCTTGTCAACTAAATACGTTATACTATGTAGGTCAATCTTCTGCTAACCCAATATTTGTTGCGTCAGAAGGTCGGTCCTGTGAGTCCTGATTTTTATCCACTTAATGATAAATTCTGTAAGAATGTCTAATGCAACAGACAGAAACATACATTTTCAAAGAACTGAAACTTAAATTATTTTACACTTTGCGGCTACTCAATAATAACTGATATTGTTGATTTTCTATTACCCATACAAACACTGGCCCAGACCATGACCCCCAACTTTCAAGAATGTATGACCTCCTCCCCTTGTCCTTACTGTGGGAGCTTTTGATCTTAGAGGGACGTGCCTCAGTCATAGTTTACAGTAATGCTTTGCTTCCCATCTTGGAAAGCTCCACAAAAATATTGTAACCTATTGCATTGCTGAAATGCTTGGGGATGTTGGTGGAAGGTGGCTCGTGATTTCTGGGCAGTTTATAAAACACCATTGTGACACTATCCTAAACAGAGTCCAGGTTCTCACTCTGTTAGATAAATGAGTTTAATTGCATTGATTTATAAATACTAAGAGAAAGTGTAATAGATAAAAGCTGCCCATACATAGGAGAAAATGGTTGCATGTTCAAGCATGATTCAGCTGCCATAAGGGTGGAACATGTAATATGTTTTGATCCCCCCTCCCTGTGACAGCAAGGGACCATCTGAACCATGGCAGACAGACCTATAGTTTCAATTAACTGCGGGGGAACTGATGAGTGCTCTTGCAGTCCACTGACATGTCCTCCAGCTTTCAAACAAACAGCCTATACAGAGGTATGGGCTGAAAACTGGAGGACATATCTGTAGGTGCCCATATTGCACCTGTAATCTACTGATCGCGATCAATGCTTTTCAGTCTCCTGCAGGAAAAAATTAAAAATCTGCATTTTTTTTTCTGCTAAAATATTATGATTATTATACAGGATTTATATAGTGCCAACAGTTTGCACAGCACTTTACAAAATGAACGTTACAGTTACAGTATGTGCATTTGTTATTTTTTTCCAATAAGATTGAACTTATCCTTTAAGTGGAAAACAAGTGTAGTCATCAAAATACCAAATCCACCATTGTCTGTGAATGTTCTCCTTTATCCATTGTGTATCTAGTAGTAGGTAGTCAAATTCATCCACATTTGTTCTGTAATGTTCTGTAATATTGAAGATGCTTTACTTATCCAGGTAGCTTCTTCTGTCCTAATGAGTGTCCTGAGCATACCCCAGCATTTATAACCACCCCGATAGATCAGTCACCCTAATCCAATCATTATAGAATTTACCAAGGTAGATCTTGATTGTCCAAGGAGCTGTGAAAGTTTGCATACCCACCCAGGTATAATTACCTAATCCAGGCCCAGGGTGGGATGTGTATTAATTGTTGGAGTGACATGGCCAGGGCTTTTTTCTCTCAGAGAAAGGTGCAGGAGCTCAACCATGACCCCCCTCCTGGCCAAACAACATCAAATGGTGGGTGTAGTCAAACTGCAGTGGGAGGGTTTTAAAGGGGCATTTAAATACTAGGAGAGTGTTACATGCAGAGTGTAGAGTTCAGAGGTGCACAACATACAGGCTGCAGAGTTCAGCAGTGCAGAACATAGTGCAGAATACAGGAGTGCACTATGTACAGACTGCAGGGTTCAGGGGTGTGCTGCTTACAGAGCGCAGAGTTCAGGAGTGCACTACATGCAGAGCGCAGGGTTCAGGGAGCGCTACATACAGAGTGCAAAATTCAGGGGTGCGCTATGTACAGAGCAGAGGATTCAATGGTGCACTGCGTACAGAGTGCAGGGCTTAGGGTGTGCTATGTGTAGAGTACAGAGTTCAGGGGTGTGCTACATACAGAGAGCAGGGATCAGGAGTGCACTATGTACAGGGTGCAGAGATCAGGGGTGTGTTATATACCGAGTGCAGGGTTCGGGAGTGAGCTATATACAGAGTGTAGGGATCAGGGGAGTGCTCTGTACAGGGCCAGGGGTACACCACATACAGAGTGCAGGGTTCAGCTCTCTTTCACAGGCCCTTACCTCTGCATTCCCCATTCACTTCTCATTTCAACCCCTTCTCAGCTTTGACCTCTGCACCACTCCCCTGATCCCTGATCCCCCATCTCCCAACTCTGCATACCCCTGTTCACTGCCCTCATCTTCCCACTCCCCCCATTCCTTCATAGCTTCCATGCATTTTCCCATTAAACAAAACTCCCCGCACTGTAGGCACCACTACCTCTCTTATATGAAGCAAGATAATCTGTGGGAGTTGGTATCCATGCACTTGGGAACAGATTGTGAACATAGAGGGTGCAGCCTACCACATAATGTTCCCTCCTGCTCTTGACCACACTGCACTCAAGTGCTGTGATGAACAGAGAACTGTGAGAACTCAGGTGCCCACCAGTTCTGCTTAAAAAAAAGCCATTGTCCATGCTGTGAGTGTAGGGCAGGGAGGGATCTGTGAAGCCACTAGGAGAGGCAAGCTGTTCTTGTAAGCACAGAAGTTGGGCTTCTGTGTTTTCAAGTGACAGTGATGAACAGAGAACGGAGGGTGAGAACCAGAGGTGGTGGAACTGGGTTCCACCAGTTCCTGCTTAAAAAAAAACCCTGGACATGGTTAAATGTGTAAATTGCTTTCAAATTGCTGGGTAGAGATGCTAAATTAAATGTTATATGTGGGTGACAGATAATGTTAAAGGCCCCCACCTCTATTTAGGGATACCTGTTCCAATTTGACATAGATGGCCTCTCTCTTTGTCACTCAGAAGTCTTTTTTTTACTCAGGCTATAAATGCTTTCTTACGCTATGCTCACATTGTTGTGGGTATAGAACAGTGTGTAAATCACTTGCATTCCTGCACAAACAAGCACCCGCAGCCAAAATGTGCTGCTCTTTAGCAGACACGTAGAGGTGCATTTAATTCTTTAGCATGTTTTCTAGTGCTTGAAACTGCATAGTGCAAAAACATCATGCGTTTCTGTGAGGCTGCATCTTAGAAAGGGTGCAAGGACCTTTTCCCTGTGTTTCCCGCAGGTGCAGCAGCCCATTCAAATGCCCAAGCAGAATTTCGCGTTTGCTCTTTGTTCTAACTTGCTGTCTATGATGAAATAGCAGACGTGGTAACGCATGTGGTCAGAGCAGCACCAGTTTCACAGCTCCCAATGTACACAGGATGATGACTTTTGGCACACTGACTTATGAAGGTCAGTGCTCCCTGTAACTGTGCGTGCAGCCTTATACTGCCATCTGTTGGCGTGTTACAAAACTACTCTCGAAACATTTTGATACCACCTCGTATAATCAAGGGCACTGTGGTCTGACTTGGATATCATTTGTATTCACATGAATATTTTAAATATATTAATTCCTTCATATTATAAATTATTGTTGGTATTCATCCAAATGTTTGAATGACTATATTTTTATAAGACGACAGTTATTTCTAGGAATTTTATATTAAATTAATACTAAAATTGATTTAATAAGCTTAAATCTACACTCACCGGCCACTTTCTTACACCTTGCTAGTATCAGGTTGGACCCCTTTTGCCTTCAGAACTGCCCTAATTCTTTGTGTCATAGATTTAATAAGGTTTTGGAAATATTCCTCAGAGATTTTTGTCCATAATGACACGAGTTACTTTTGGCTTTCTATCATCCTGAACCGTTCACTTTATATTTTCTCTTTTTTGGACCATTCTCTGTAAACCCTAGAGATGGTGTGTGTGCTTCAAAATCCCAGCAGTTTTTGAAATACTCAGACCAGTCCGTCTGGCACCAACAACCATGCCATGTTCAAAGTCATTTAAATCCCCTTTCTTCCCCATTCTTATGCTCGGTTTGAACTTCATCTTCACTACGTCTAGATGTCTAAATGCATTGAGTTGCTGCCATTGGCTGATTAGCAATTTGTGTTACCAAGCAATTGAACAGGTTTACCTAAAAAAGTGTCCAGCAAGTGTATGTGTTGTAGTGGAAACAGCTGCTGTGAATATGTATTTGTGACTATTTATTTTGCATACGTGTATCAGAAATGTGTTTTTTTTTCATGGATTTGGAGGGGTTGAATGTGGGTAGAATATGGTATATATTGGCTCATATATTTATTCAACTGATTACAATTAAGTGATAATGAATGCATTATTAAATATACAGTATATGGTTAAAGAGTATGTTAACCCAACATTACACATTCCTGGCATGTGCCTACTGTACCATGTATGAAAAAGTATCCTGTTCTTTGTATTGCTTCCTTTGCGTTCCTCTGCTTTCCTATAAAAAACCTGGTCACACTAGGCATGAGAGCACAGCGTGATCAGTTCTCTAGTTGTGTTGGGAATTCAGACTGTTCTCCTCCAATGATCAGACATGTCCTGCCACGTCCCCTCTACACAGCCCTTCACTGGGAAGACCAGTGTGCTGCTGTTTTAAGCCGCTGAGAACAGAGGGAATGTGATCACATAAACAAGGGAAAAAGAACTATTTATAATTTTTTTTATATTTATAAACAAAAAGTTTTACCTTTCATTTCTATTTTAAACTGTATGGGTCGTTTTACTAAGTGAGGCTTTTCATATACTTTAAGCTACTGTGTCTGACACCAGAAACAATGGCAGGGAAAAGTGGATGACCAAAAAAAGCTTGGGAACTTTTGCATTAGTGGAATCTATATGGGATAAATGGGACAACACACAGGTTAAACATCAATCATGGCAATACAGATGTTGTTACAGATGTATACTTATGGGCATTTTCAAAATACAACAGGAGTGGAAAGAATGAGACTCTAAATTCATAAAAAAGTTTGTACCTGGTAATATCCTACATGGAGGTCAAATATACTTGAAATATATTTTAAAAATATTCTTCCCAAATATATTGCCATATATTTGAAATGCTACAATTTTGGCCATATTCAATATATTTCAATAAATATGTAATATATATATATATATATATATATATATATATATATATATATACACACACTGCATGCTGAAATGTGTTTTTATTACAAAATATATGAAAAATATTTTTAAAAATACATTTCAAATATACTGTATGTCTTTAAAAATAGAAATCTACATTTTTGGAATGCATTTGCAAATATATGTAAAAATATATGCTAAAATGACTTTTGTATATTTTAAAAAACATCTGAAGCATATATTTTAAAGAAATATATTTTTAAAAAATATATTTTTTTAAAAAATATATTCTTCAGATTTAATATATAAAAAAGTAATTTTAACATATATTTTTACATATATTTGTAAATGCATTCCAAAAATGTAGATATGTATTTTTAAAAGACATACAGTATATTTGAAATGTATTTTTAAATATACTTTTCATATATTTTGTAACAAAAACGCATTTCAACATGCAGTATATATACCATATTTTCCGGCGTATAAGGCGACTGGGTGTATATAAGACGACCCCCTAATTTTCCAGTTAAAACATAAGTTTTGGGCTATACTCGTCGTATAAGACTACCCCCCTTCTGAGGCAACACCATTTAACCCTTAGCCTACCCACTTCCCCCCCCCCCCCCCCCCAGCCAATATTCAGCTTTCAGCGCTGTCACACTTTGAACGACAATTGCGCGGTCATGAAAACACTGTACCCATATGAAATAGGTGGCACTGATGGGTACTGATGAGGATGGCACTGGTAGGTGGCACTGATGGGCATTGACAGCCATCACTGATGGGCACTAAAAGGCAGCACTGATACATGGCACTGATATATGGCACTGATAGGTGGCACTGATAGGTGGCACTGACTGGCACTGTTAGGTGGCACTGACTGGCACTGATAGGTGGCACTGACTGGCACTGATAGGTGGCACTGATAGCATTGATGTGCACTGATAGGCGGCACTGACTGGCGCCGATAGGCGGCACTGATGCGCACTGATAGGCAGCACTAACTGGCAGTGATAGGTGGCACTGATTGCAGCACTGATAGGTGGCACTGATGGGCATTGACAGGCATCACTGATGGGCACTGAAAGGCAGCACTGATACATGGCACTGATAGGCGGCACTGATAGGTGGCACTGACTGGCACTAATAGGTGGCACTGATTGGCAGCACTAATAGGTGGCACTGATTGGCATTGATAGGTGGCACTGACTGGCACTGATGGGTTACACTGAAAGGCAGCTCAGATGGGCACTGATATGTGGCATTGATGTGCACTGGTAGGCACTGATATGTGGCATTGATGTGGCACTGATGGACACTGACAGCTGGCACTGATGGGCACTGACAGGTGGCACTGCTGGGGCTACACTGATCATCAGGGCACACTGATCATCAGTGCCCTGATGATCAGTGTACATGTCCACTCCATGGAAAGCCGATTACCGGCTCTCCTCTCCTCTGTCAGCGTGACAGCTCAGAGGAGAGGAATGCCGATAACCGGCATTTCCCTGTTTACATGTGATCAGCTGTGATTGGACACAGCTGATCACATGACCGAGCCGACATCTTCAGCTCTTTCCGTCATCGGTGATCCTCTGTGTCCAAGGGACACAGCGCATCGCCGCGCATGCGCGGAGAATGGGAGGACGTCATATGAGCCAATCACGGCAAGTGATGTATTCTATTAATGAATACAGAGCCTGCTCGGATTGGCTGCATCAGAGGCTGCATCAGAGGCTGATGATCTCACAATTTCAGCCAATCCGAGCAGGCTCTGTATTCATTAATAGAATACATCGCTCGCCGTGATTGGCTCAGCACGGTACACTGTATGTAGCTGAAGCTACCGTACAGTATTATCACATATCCAGCGGTTCTATACCCGGCGTATAAGACGACCCCCAATTGTTGGGGTATGTTTTTAAGTAAAAAAACTTGTCTTATACGCCGGAAAATACGGTGTATATATATATTTATATATATATATAAATATATATATATATACTGTATATATTTATTGAATATGGCCAAAATTGTAGCATTTCAAATATATGGCAATATATTTGGGAAGAATACTTTAAAAATATATTTCAAATATCATTTTCTTCCATATGGGATGGTTTGATTAAGAAAATAAGTTTTATGTCTGTTTATGATTGCAATTAACATCACCTTGATGTAGCTCGGAAACATGAGTTTTGCATCCCAATCAGTTCACTTGAACACAAACTCTACATCAAGTTTGTTGTCTCCACACAATTGTGATAGTTCTCACTATCAGTTGAATGGGATGTAGAAAAATTCAAAATTTTGCTTGGTTGGATTAGTGTATGATACAACCACCCAATGGGTGAGTAAATGGGAGTCACAGTTATGCTCGGGCCCTATGACCCCAAAGGTATTGTTAGATCTGCACTGTCAGTACCATCCAATGATACACAGCGCAGGACAATAATACTGGTCGTGGACTGAAAGTTATTATCCCTTTATGCTTGGCAAGAGTTAATGCAGAAGTAACAGTGTTTTTACTGACGTAGATAAAATGTGATCACAGTTAATGGATTATACTTTGTGCTTCCAAAAAGCTGATGCTACAGTTTACAAACGTGTGATTGCTGAGCACTGCATTCCATATTATGGTATGTGTTCGATTTTCTGCATTTGTTTAAAATGTCGAATATTAAAAATATATCTTTCAATTTGTCAGAGCACCATCACCATGGTAACAATGTATGCAAAGCTCATGCAGTATGCATGAATATTCAAAAGAGTAAGTTTAATAGAGCTCGCTGAAGGATGTGATCTTCTCAATCCTTCATGGATGAATGGGGTGACGGGAAAAATAATAACAGTAAATGCAAGATTTCATGGTACCTATCTATTTTAGATAGTCTCTCCTAAGCCTCAAAAGCCTAGTACACACAATCAGAAAATCGTCAAAGCGATCATACGATAATGCGGTCATTAGTACACAGCTTTCGTCCGAAATAATTTGATGAGACAAGAACGAAAACTTTTCTTGTACAATACCAAATCATACGATTTTCCTTTAATCAGTACAGTTTTTGTCCGAAAATATAATACTCATCACTTTTCTAATTTTCTTTCTGTTGTACAAGAATTTTTGTAACTTTAGTAACGGTTTCACTTTCGACCTGAGACTAGCATGGAATGAAAAATTAATGACCATTCATCCAATATTCTCATTGTGTGTACTGGGCTTAGGAACACATGGTGCAAAAACAGAGAACCACTGCAGCTTTTACTATTGTGCAGATCTGTCCTATCTACTTTGCCTTGCAAATGATTTGGGGTGGCCACTATAGGGGTTGATGACCTGTTGTAATAAGTCCAGTTAAACATTTGCTCTAGTCCAGGGGTCTCCAAACTTTCTAAACATACGGCCAGTTAACTGTTCATCAGACTTTTGGGGGGTCGGACTGTGGCCATTAGGAGTAAAAATTGTCCTGACATCAGTGTAAACAATGCATCTTTGGTATTGGGGGGAGGAATAGTGCCCCTTCATTAGTGTCAGTGGGAGCAATAGTGCCCTTCATTGGTGTCAGTGGGAGGAATAGTGCCCCATCATTGGTGTCAGTGGGAGGAATAGTGCCCCATCATTGGTATCAGTGGGAGGAATAGTGTCCCATCATCCGTGTCGCTGGAAGGAATGGTGCCCCATCGTTGGTGTCAGTGGGAGGAATTGTGCCCCATCATTGGTGTCAGTCGGAGGAATAGTGCCCCATCATTGGTGTCAGTGGAGGAATAGTGCCCCATCATTGGTATTAGTGGGAGGAATAGTGTCCCATCATCCGTGTCGCTGGAAGGAATGGTGCCCCATCGTTGGTGTCAGTGGGAGGAATAGTGCCCCATCATTGGTGTCAGTGGGAGGAATAGTGCCCCATCATTGGTATCAGTGGGACGAATAGTGCCCCATCATTGGTGTCAGTGGGAGGAATAGTGTCCCATCATCCGTGTCGCTGGGAGGATTTGTACCCCATTGTTGATGTCAGTGGGAGGAATTGTGCCCCATCCTTGGTGTCAGTGAGAGGAATTGTGCCCCATCATTGGTGTCAATTTGAAGAATAGTGTCCTATTGTTGGTGTCACTGGGGGGAAAAAGTGCCCCATTGTTGATGTCGGTGTCAGGAATAGTGCCCAATCATTGGTGTCAGTAGCAGTAATCATGCCCCATCGTTGGTGTCAGTGGGAGGAATTGTGCCCCATCGTTAATGTCAGTGGGAGGAATAGTGCCCCATCATTGGTGTCAGTGGGAGGAATAGTGCCCCCATCATTGGTATCAGTGGGAGGAATAGTGTCCCATCATCCGTGTTGCTGGGAGGAATTGTACCCCATCGTTGATGTCAGTGGAAGGAATTGTACCCCATCCTTGGTGTCAGTGAGAGGAATTGTGCCCCATCATTGGTGTCAATTTGAAGAATAGTGTCCTATTGTTGGTGTCACTGGGGGGGAAAAAGTGCCCCATTGTTGATGTCGGTGTCAGGAATAGTGTCCCATCATTGGTGTCAGTAGCAGTAATCATGCCCCATTGTTGGTGGGAGGAAAGGAATAGTGTCTTATATCAGTGGAAGGAAATGTGCCCTGAGGGCCAGGTAAAGGCAAGCAAAGGGCCACATCCAGCCCCTGGGACGCAGTTTGGAGACCACTGCTCTAGTCGAAACACTAACAATAATGATGTGAACCTGAAACAGAAGAGGTCATGGAACTTGTGACTTAGAGGATGAACACAATATGGTTAGTCATGTACCTGGTTATTGTTTTATCCACATACAATGGCACAGCAACAAAGCACTGTTTACTCTTGAAGCATGCAAGAATGCAGCAGACCATAGGAAACACTTTTTCATAGGAAACAATTTTTTGAAGAACCACTGTGCCTGAAGTAAACAATGTTTCAGTGTTACTTTTGCAACCAAGAGTCTTGCTTTTACTGTCCATTCTGCATTGACAGACTAAGAGAGAATCTGATTAGATAAAAGCAATTAAATATCACTTTAATTTTTACACAGCAGGTTCAGATCACAAAGTTTTAAGCCTAGGTTCATGCTAATGCAGTGGGAGTTGAATCTGTTTTGCAGTGCGATTTCATTAGCAGCTCCAGTGCATGTTGGTACTTGAATCTCCTAGAGTCCACAGCATGCCGTTTCTGTTTAACTCTGTGGAGCTACAAATTGCTCTGCATTAAACTCACACAGGACCCTTTTTCAAATGACATTGGATTTGCACTGTATATATGTGGACTGCCTCCATAGAAACTCATGTTCTTTCACTTGTCATGCGATTCCATGCTTTCTGGAATGCATCAGAAATTGCATCAGTGTGAACCAGGGCTAAAGCTGAAGTTAAGATCAAAAACATTTTTTCTCTGCAGCTTTAGTTACATTACTTGCCTGTAATGAAGTATGTCCCATGATCTAATGGATTTTGCAGAGATCTTCACTGCAGGACTGCCCTGTCCTCTTCATGATGCTGAACATCTGGCTCCATGGGGGTTAACAGCTTCATGTCTCCAGACTCAGCTGCACTAAAGATGATCTACAAGGTCCCGCAGCCTGCACATCATGGGACATACTTCATTGGGCTGGCCATACATTATACAATTTTCCTGAGATTTATGCTTTAGATTTACCAAAGACCATATAATATGAGGTCAAACCTAAACAACACTTTCAGTTGTATCCAATTAGGTGGGCCCTTGCACTACATACAGTTGCAAGAAAAAGTATGTGAACCCCTTGGGATTACGTGGAGTTTTGCATGAATTGGGCATAAAATGTGCTCTGAACGTCATCTAAGTCACAACAATAGAAGAACACAGTCTGCTGAACATAATACTACACAAACATTAGATGTTGCCATGGTTTAATTGCACATAACATGTAAACATTCACAGTGCAGGGAGGAAAAAGTATGTGAAGCCCTAGCTTAATTACTTCTCCCAGAGCTAATTGGAGCCAGGAGTGAGCCAACCTTGATTCCAATCAGTGTGATGATATTGGATGTGTTGCTGACAGCTGTCTGCCCTTAAAAAACCCACACCTGTTTTGGGTTTACTGGTTTCAAGAAGCACTGTCTGATGTGAACCATGCCTCGCAGAAAAGAGCTCTCAGAAGACCTACGATCAAGAATTGTTGACTTGCATGAAGCTGGAAAGGGTTACAAAAGTATCTCCAAAAGCCTTGAGGTTCATGTGTCCACGGTAAGACAGACTGTCTACAAATGGAGAAAGTTTAGCACTGTTGCTACTCTCCCTAGGCGTGGTCGTCCTGTAAAAATGACTGCAAGAGCACAGCGCAGAATGCTGCATGAGGTAAAGAAGAATCCCAGAGTGTCAGCTAAAGACCTACAGAAATCTCTGGCACATGCTAACATTTTTGTTGACACATCTACAAGAAGGAAAACATTAAACAAGAATGGAGTACATGGGAGGACACCACGGAGGAAGCCATTGCTGTCCAAAAAGAATATTGCAGGACGTTTGAAGTTTGCAAAAGAGCACCTGGATGTTCCACAGCACTACTACTGGCAAAATATACTGTGGACAGATGAAACCAAGATTGAGTTGTTTGGGAAGAACACACAACACTATGTGTGGAGAAAAAAAGGCACAGCACACCAACATCAAAACCTCATCCCCACTGTAAAACATGGCGGAGGGAGCATCATGGTTTGGGGCTGCTTTGCTGCCTCAGGGCCTGGATGGATTGTTGTCATTCATGGGAAAATGAATTCCAGAGTTTATCAAGACATTTTGCAGGAAAATGTACGACCATCTGTCCGCCAACTGAAGCTCCGCAGAGGATGGGTGATGCAACAGGACAATGACCCAAAGCATACAAGTAATTCAACAAAACAATGGCTGCAACAGCACAGAATACGCCTTCTGGAGTGGCCCAGTCAGAGTCCTGACCTCAACCTGATTGAAATGCTGTGGCATGACCTTAAGAGAGCGATTCACACCAGACATCCCAAGAATATTGCTACACTGAAACAGTTTTGTGAAGAGGAGTGGTCCAAAATGACTCCAGATCGTTGTGCAGGTCTGATCTGCAACTACAGGAAATGTCTGGTTCAGGTTATTGCTGCCAAAGGAGGGTCAACCAGTTATTAAGTCCAAAGGTTCACATACTTTTTCCTCCCTGCACTGTGAATGTTTACATGTTATGTGCAATTAAACCATGGCAACATCTAATGTTTGTGTAGTATTATGTTCAGCAGACTGTGTTCTTCTATTGTTGTGACTTAGATGACATTCAGAGCACATTTTATGCCCAATTCATGCAAAACTCCACGTAATCCCAAGGGGTTCACATACTTTTTCTTGCAACTGTAGTTGAAGGTAAATCTAAAGGAAATTGAGCAGAAGTTGAACAGAAAATTGTATAACGTATGGCCTGCCTTACAGGTAAGTAATGCAACTAATAAAGCTATAGAGAAAAAAACATTTTTTTAGCTAAACTTCAGCTTTAGAATGTTACTAAACCCACAACAGTAAAATCAGTCTGTATATGCAGTGAAGCATGCTTGTTATACTCACTGTGGGACCTAAGGGGTTAATCCTCTGCATTGTGTAAAAAGGCTGTTTGATCCTGACTTCTCTGCCCCTCCTCTTGTTCAAATGTCCACATCTTATCTCCTGATAAGACAGACTGAACCTGTAGCCATTCTGCACATGCTCCGTTTAGTGTGTATTGCTAGAGAGGTTTTTTTTATTTCTTGGCAGCATGCATGTGATCAGCACAGGGCCAATCAGCACTGTCCAGACAGAGGTCAGGGGTTTTGCAGAGCAGAAAGAAAACTCCTCCTACAAGCTTTAACCAGTGCTCTTCTGAACACTGATAGAAGACACAAGACTGCTATAACTGCTGATGAGAAATGATATTTAGCAGTTTGTATTTACTAAAATAATTGCATTTCCATGTTCTGTGTACTGTGGGAGACAGAGAGTGGATGCAGGGTCCTGGGTTTAGTAACACTGTAACACCAAGATAAGGATCTTCATTTTGGCCATATGACTGTAATTTTCACATTTCATTGGACTCACAATTACTGTCACTTCTTGAAAAATAAAGTTCCTTATACTGGTGTTATTAAAGCTTTGTGATCAAGCCCATGACATCCTAATGTGGTACCAAGGTTTTTGTATCCGTTACGAGAGCATCATTCTGTGCAGAGGAAAGCAATCACATTTGAGTGAGACATTACATTTTTGTAAGTTGGCATGCTCACATAAAAAGCCAGTGTTATCACTTATTACTGCATTTTTAAGTAAATGATTAAAGTAGTTTTCTATGCTGTTCAAGGCCATTGAAGCACATCTGATCAGAAAATCTCCGGGAGGACTGACATATATTGCTGAGTGGAAAGGTGGAGTCCTGGACCACAAGATGGGGCACCTGACTTGCTTTGCTGCAGGGATGTTGGCACTAGGAGCAAATGACGCACCACAGAACAAGAAAGAACATTACATGGAGTTAGCAGGAGAAATTGCCAGCACATGTCATGAGTCTTATGTACGTACAGGTATGAATGATCCTTCCCACATACACCAATAAAATGATGTCATAACAGTGATCAGCCCTAAAAGCAGAAAAAAAATATCTGTACGCTTAATATGGGGTTTTAACTCAAAGAATTGAAGCAATAAGTTTGACGAATAGGTAATCAGCCGAATGATCAGAAGCAGTTGGAACTTGCAATTTACTAAACAGGTGCAAAGTAGAGACAATAATGTCAAACAAGCTTGGGATAGCAAAGAACATGCATAGATTATTGAATAATATAAACCAGAGACTGATTATGAAAGCTGCACAAACATGGACTCTTTACAGTAATGTCTCTATGGTGCAATAATGGTAACGTTGCTGCATAGCATAGTTCCTAATGATGGGCTGCAAGTTTGAGTCAAACGTAAGATCGACTCAAACATGGGCCATTCGTGTGTTTGGTGATCAGTACAGGCATTCGGCAGGCTGTTCACCTGTCGTGCCACACAATGCACTGTGCCCTAACAGTGCATTGTGATTGGCCAAAGCATTGCACCTGACCAGAGGTCAGGTGCAATGCTTTGGCCAATCACAGGGCATGATAACGTCACAAGGGTCATAATAAAGTCACACCCCCTTGTGATGTCATCACCACCATATTTAAGAACTGTCCAGGGGCGGACTGACAACTCATGGGGCCCCCGAGCAATAGGGGATCATGGGGCCCCTGTGTCCTTGCGCAAACTCAAAAAAGCCTATGAAAAAGGTACCAGGGGCATCTCATGGGGCCCCCTACTGACCCCAGGCCCTCGGGCAGTGCCCAAGTTTCCAAATGGTCAGTCCGCCCCTGGAACTGTCATAGCGGTGGAGCTGTCAGACGGCGGGGGCCAGCGTCAAGGGAGGAGCGTTTTTTTTTTTTTTTTTCCAGGGCGGCAGTGGCAGCAGGCATCGTGATTGACGTTGGATCTACTTCGGGGGACATTTTTAAAATTTTTAATAAAGGACTTGTCAAAGACTGTCTCCTGTCTTTTTTTTACACTACACTTTTTTTTGTGAATGGGTAAAACGCCTCCTACAAGCTTTAACCAGTGCTCTGCTAAACACTGATAGAAGTCACAAGACTGCTCTAACTGCTGATGAGAAAAGGTATTTAGCAGTTTATATTTACTAAAATAATTGCATTTCCATGTTCTGTGTACTGTGGGAGACCAGATATAGTGAATGTGGGGTCCTGGGTTTAGTAACACTTTAAATGAACAAGCAGAAGTTAGAAGCTGATTGGTTACTATGCACAGCTGCACCAGATTTTGCACTTCTCGGTTTTGATATATCTACCCCATAAAATGGTCTAACAGAATGATATGATCTCTTTTCAGATACTAAACTTGGACCTGAAGTGTTTAGGTTTGATACAGGGGCTGAAGCCACATCAAGCAGGCTGAGTGAAAGATATTACTTGCTCCGTCCAGAAGTTGTAGAAAGTTACCTGTACCTTTGGAGGCTGACGCATAATCCTAAATATAGAGAATGGGGCTGGGAGATTGCACAGGTATGGAAACATGACAGTGGGCCTGAATATTTAGCGTGAATTGTATTAAAATAACTTTTTAAAAAATGAAGTTTGCTCAATAACTCAGAAAATTGTACCAATCTCATTTTGTGTCTACCTAGCATAATTTTTCATTCTTTTCATTTAGGGATGAAATTTGATTTTGGGTCAGACCTGGATTTGAGGTGAATCCAAGTCACTCACCATTCATGGACCGAACTACTGCAACTTTTTGCAGTCATTTATACTGTATGTCTGAACTACCGGTGCTGCAGTAATCTATATCCACTTGAGCTCTGTAAGATTTTACCCCCTCATGACCAGGCCATTTTATACTAGTTAGCATTGCGCTGCTTTAACTGGTAATTGTGCTGTCATGCAATGCTGTACCCAAACAAAATTTATTTTTTTCTCACAGACAGAGCTTTCTTTTGCTGGTAGTTGATCACCACTGGGTTTTTCATTTTTTTGAGATATAAATTAAAAACAAACCAAATATTTTGAAAAAAAAAATATTTTTTACTTTCTGCTATAAAACATGTCCAATAAAAAAAATAAAAAACAAACTTCTTTATACATTTTGGCCAAATGTATTCTGCTAAATGTCTTTGATAAAAAAAAAAAATCCCAGAAAGTGGATATTGATTGGTTTGCTGAAAGTTATAGTGCTTACAAACAATGGAATATATACTGGATTTTTCATTTTTATTATTTTTTTATACTTCTAATGGCAGTGATCAGTGACTTATAATAGGACTGCTATAGTGCAGTGGGCAATCTGACACTAACTGATGCTGGGGGGGAACTGAATAACTGCCACTGACATCACCAGTGACATTAATACGGTGATCAGTGATAATATTATTCATTGTCACTGTACTAATGAGAGAGGCTGGGAAGGGGTTAACATCTAGGGTGATCACAGGGTTAAATGTGTGCCTAGCTATGTGTAATGTGTGTAAAGTGTGCTGCTTTTACTAATAGATTCTATGTTTCCCATCCCTGCTTTGCAGGGATGAGAAATATAGAGCTCAGTCCCTGTGTACAGACAATCAACACATTGTACACAGCCGATCAGCAAGTCCCGGCCATGAATCATTGACCAGACTTTCAGACAGGCTCCTGCTGTGTACAATCACAGTGGGTGTCAGACGGGCAAAACCTGGAAGTAGGCAGCTACATACTGGTACATTGCTTTGCCTACAGCGACAGTACATTGTGGGCGGGTGAGAGGGCGGGAAGTGGAAATACAGCACCAGGGATCCCAGCAGATGTTATTGACCAAATATGGTCATGACCATATTTGGTTAATGATGTCACCCAGGCAGGGGCGGACTGACCATATAGGCACTCAGGCACTGCCCGAGGGCCCTGGGTCAGTAGGGGGCCCCATGAGATGCCCCTGCTACCTTTCATAGGCTTTTTTGGGTGTGGTTTGAGTGTGAGTGAGGACACGGGGCCCCATGATTTCCTATTGCCCGGGGGCCCCATGAGTTTTCAGTCCGCCCCTGCACCCAGGATTCCCACTGCTGTGTTTAATTTATTGCAGAACCTTGGAACTGTCATTTAGCAATGGGAAGCCAAGTAAACATCAACACGCATCGGATACACATCACTGGATACCGTAATTGCTGATCTACTTACGTAGTTGGATGACATGATTGACAATGGATTTACTGTACATCAGGGTGAATTAGTGAGAATTTTATTGACATAGTTTTATAAAAGTATAATATCACATCACTAAATCTGGAAAACATGCTGCAGTGATAGGTTTACCATACCTGTTGCTTTGATATGTAGTTGTTATTTTTATTATAATAAGTAAACTAACTGATTCTTACTTCTTTGTTTCACTGCACTTAGCTCTCATTTTATTGTATAAGTCACTGTGAAGAGCAGATGCAGGTTTCTCTGTATCATTTCTCTGTATATGATGAACTGAACAGTGACATACAGACTGAATTTTCTTATTGTATGTGACATATACCCATGTAACTCAGTACCCATATTTTTTTCAGCCCAATGGATTGCTGTCAGCAGTCACTTCCCCTTAGTTTGAACAATTTTTGCTTCAGACATCAGTTTAAAAGCAAGCTGAAAAGGAAGTGAATGGAAAATAAATATCTGGACAGCAAAGATGAATGAGGCACCTCCTTTCCTTTATTGTAAACTAATCTGTATCTACAGGATTAAATACAGCAGGTTTAAATATTTTGCCACAGTAATTTGACACTTATTTTCTCAGGAATTGAAAACAAGAATGTTAAAAAATATTTTGCAACTTTTTTCAGCTATATTATATTTCACAAGTGGAGTTCTAAGCTTCTTTTAATATTTACCAGGCTAACTTTAACTGCTTTGCTGAAAATGTATTTTCAAAATTCAGCCAGTTCAGCAGGAATAGCCAAATTTTGATCCATGTATGGACGCCATGGATGTGCAGAATTCTATCTATTGATAGTCTTCTGTACAACCACCCTGTCGGTTTTTTTTTTCAAAATGATCAGTGCCACAAGCTATAGCCGGCAACACCAATCATTGTGTTCTGATAGCGGGGAAGGCTACTCACCATGAGAACACCATAGCACAGCAGGAGTGATTCCCCCATTCACCTAGAATGTGTGGATGAAGGAATCGGCAATTTTTTTTTTCATTAAACTCGCTGATAACTGCCCATGGCTCCTGGAAACACTGGTTACTACTACACCTTCCTTTTAATTTTTGCTACTAAGGACTAACTGAGAACTGTCAGTGCTGCTATTTGTCATTGGCCATTAACTGTACCTACCAATGTTTGTTTATTCTCAGAAACAAAGCAATAGCTTCAGTATGAACTTTGTACTGTATATTCATGGCATGTAAAAGCTATTCAGATGAATATTATCATAAAGTTTGTTACTTTTCCTAATCAGTTATTATTATTATTATTATACAGTATTTATAAAGCGCCAATAGTTCGCTCAGCGCTGTACATTACAAAGGGGGACAGAACATGTGACAGAACAATAACAATACAATGCAAAACATGAGGGGATCGAGGGCCCTGCTCTTTCGAGCTTACAATCTAGGAGGGAGGGGATGGTGGCACAGGAGGAGATAGCTGTGGGGGATGGAGTGGTAGGAAGAGTGGAGGAGGTCGGCAAGTTAGATGCAGGGGGAGATGGGGTAGGCTTCCCTGAAGAGATGGGTTTTCAGGGTTCCAGTGCCTAAAGGAGAGGAGAGTAGGTGATAAGGGAGGTCTCTGATGGGGTTACTTGGATATTAGGGGCAGAGAGTTCCAGAGGATGGGTGACACCCATTGCGCAATGGAGAAGTTATGGGGGGGCGGAATGGACCGGTTGGAAAGAAACTCGGTTTTGGAGAGGTTCAGTTTAAGGAAGTGGAGCGACATTTAGTGGTTTCTTGGGTTAGGAACGTGCGGATCAGATATGTCGCTCAGTAAGTGTGTGATTCGGGATAGGTTGGAGTCCAGAATGAGGTACTCTGGTGCGGGGAGGGTTTGGGGGGTTGAGAGATAGATCAATGGGGGGTTTGTCGTCGGCAGTCAGATAGGTGACAGTTGAAGCCGTGAGAGAGGTGTGAGGTGGGGGGTTGATGAGTTGGCCAAGGGAGGAGGTGTAGAGTTGGAGAAGAGAAAGGGCCCAAGGACGGAGCCTTGAGGGACCCCAACAGAGAGGGGGAGTGAGGTGGAGGTGGTAGCATTATAGGTAACGCTGAAAGAGCGTTGTGATAGGTAGGATGAGAGCCAGGAGACAGCAGAATCTCTGAGGCTGAGGGAGTGTAGTTTTTTTGAGGAGGAGGGGGTGGTCGACTGTGTCGAAGGCCACAGAGAGGTCAAGGAGTAGGAGCACTGAATAGTGGCCATTAGCTTTGGCAGTTAGCAGGTCGTTGGAGAGTTTGAGTAAGGCAGTTTTGGTGGAATGTAGGGGACGGAAGCCAGACTGTAGGGGATCGAGGAGGTTGTTGTCGTTGAGGTGAGAGCTTAGGCAGGTGTAGACAAGGCGCTCGAGGAGTTTGGATGTAAATGGGAGCAGGGAGATGGGTCTGAGGTTGTTTGGGTCATTGGGGTCCAGGGAGGGCTGTTTAAGTATGGGGGTGATGTGTGCATGTTTCAGAGGGGAGGAGAAAGTGCCGGAGGAGAGGGAGAGATTAAAGATGTGGGTGAGGGTGCGTAGGATGGAGGGAGGTTGTAGGAGTTGTGAGGGATAGGGTCGAGGGGCAGGTGGTGAGGCAGGCATCAGAGAGGATCTTGGAGACTTCCTCGATGGTAGTAAGGTCAAAGGTGTGACGTGTTGGGGGGGCTTCAGTATGAGGAATGTAGGATGGGGTGGAAGTGGAGGTCAGAGCAGTGATGGGGCCGTGGGAGAGGGGTGATGAGGGGGTAGCTGAGTGAGGGGGCAACGGGTTGGAGGGAGTTTGAGCAGCGACGAAGTCCCTGCGGTTTATGTCGAGGGAGAGGGGGAATGAGGGGGTAGCTGTGTGAGAGGGGACAGGTTGAGAGGGCGTGTGAGTTGCGGCGATGTCCTTGCGAATTGTGTCAATCTTGTTTTTGAAGTGATTGGCAATCTCAAGGGCAGTGAGTGAGGTGCTGGGTGGAGGTGGGAGTGGCGAGAGTAGAGAGTTGAAGGTGGAGAAGAGTCGGCGAGGATTGGAGGAGAGGGCCTTGATGAGGGTCAGGAAGTAGGGTTTTTTGGCTGCGTGGAGGGAGGAGGTGTAGGTGTGGAAGGCAGATTTGTAGCGGGTGTGAGGCTTGTTGGGATTTGGTTTTGCGCCATATTCGCTCCAGGGCACGACTGTGTCGTTTGAGGGTTTTGGTGTGATCAGTCTGCCAGGGCTGGAGCGGTCGGGGTCTGATGTTGCATGTGGTTAAAGGTGCTAGTGAGTCAAGTGAGTCAAGTTAACTGTATGGCTTGCAATAGGTTCACTTCAGATATGTCACATGTCATCTGATGGCAGAGTATTATTCATTTGATTATAACTTGATATGTGTTATTTTCCTCTAGGCTTTGGACACTTACTGCAGAATTGAAAATGGATTTTCAGGAATAAGGGATGTGTATACTACCACTCCAAACCATGATAATGTTCAGCAAAGCTTTTTCATGTCAGAAACATTAAAGTAAGTAGAATTAATTTAAGTGCATACGGTATATTAGAATAACTGAAGTATCAGAGTGAACTACCAATGTGGAAACAGACATTAAATGGCCTAGTTGGCTCAGTGTGGAAAAAGGGTTCTTGTAAATAAAGTGTACATAATGTATGAAAATTGTAGAGTTTTTTTTACAAGCACATCACTTACCCCTAAAGGAGCCATTGGTGTATTGGTCTCCTGATGACAATGATGCTCTGGCAATGCCACAGCCTCTGACACACCATGGCTAAAAAGGATTTATTTGGGCTACACACCCAACAAGGTAGCAATAAGAAAAAAAAAAATAGTCATGTACCTGAACCCTAAATCTAAGGGCATCCTAATTAATGGTGTTCCTAAAAAGCTGAAAGGTCCTAGAGTCTCTCTAAAACCCCTTCTACCAGCAAGTGTGGTAATAAACCTTGGGGCCCAGAGTCCTGCATCAGAGCTCTTAGGTATATTTGTATCCCATGGAGAATGACATATGTCCCCAAGTTTGGGGATGGCACTGTCTCTTTTAGAGGAGATTAGAGAAGTTGTGGCCAATGGCGTTTCACCATTTTGCAGTCTGCTATGAAGCCTCCTCCTTCTCTCTGATGACCAGAACCTGTGGTGTTGGTGGCGATTCTGGACTCAGTAGCAGTGATCTCTCATGAAATCAGTGATGCCCCTTTCTTTGCTGGATCTGCCTGAAGGCTGCAGCTTCCATGTGATTGCGAAACATTGTCTCCCTCCAACACTATGGTGAGCTGTGGCAACTGCAGCATCTCTGACTCAACAGCACCCTCCAACAGTCACCTTTGTGAAACCGTCCAGAGCTCTAGCCTCTCCTTCCTTTTCCTCCTCTCTGTAGCACACAGCAATTCTGGGACTTGTAGTCCCATACAGTTCTCCACCTAATAGAGAAAATGATTGCTACTGATTTCTGATGGTAGTAAGAATAGATAGAAACCTTTACCAGGTTTTTATTACTTTTTTGTGTAATATACCTTAATTTCCTGTTTATTTTACAGGGATTAAAGAGAACAGAAAGTAACAGGGGATCTCTGGAGAGATTTCGTGTTTCCTTTTTTGTCAGAAAATGGGGACAAGCTTTCTTATATGACACAGAAAGCAAAAAAAAAAAAATACAAATGATAGAGTGTGAGAGCACTTATGTAAGGTTTCTTTGCCATTTGTGTTCTTCTTGAGAAAATGTCCTAACTTCCTGTTATGTCACCAGAACAGGAAGAGCTGGTAAAGTTCCATAGGAGACATAAACATCATTAAGCACCTTGACAGCGGTCCCTTGTGATTTCCACCCTTTAAAATACAAATGTTTTGGTTTTGTCTGTTTGACTTTAAAGTGGTTGTAAACCTTTATATATACCCACTGAAGTGACTATCATAAGGTGATGCACAGAGATGAAACAAAACCCTCCTGCATAAGTTGTCCTTGTTTGTTTGCAGCCATCTCTTCTCTACATCCTCTTAAAACACACAGCTCAAAGGATATTTCTCAGCAATAGAATGGAAGGGAAGGGGATCTGAAGTCACATAAACTACACAGCTAGAGCACAGAGCTCAGTAAAACCTGAAACCTGAGTAGAGAACCCCCCCCAAGCCACACATACACAGAATTATAGGAAAATATACATAGCTGTCATTCAGCTGTTGCGTGCTAAAAGTCGGGAGGGCCATCGCCACAATGCTGTAGATTTGGCTTTGACTATTATCAGTGACTCATGCAGATAGCTGAGGGAAGACATAGCAGAGAGATAAGGACACACAGTGCTTTGCACTGAGGCTAGTACACACTATAGAAGGATATGCTTTACAACCACTTTAAGCAAAAAATAAACTTTCAAGTTTAAAAACAGGTTTGAATTTAGAACAATAATAAATGAGGCCAATATTGTCAACTAAAGATAACAGTATTACAGGGGTGAATACCATGATATTCTGTTGCTCCTTTTGACCCACACCTGGTGCTACAAATGTCACATCTGGAGCCATAAACTGTGGCTGGTTTCCCTAATTAACCCCTCGTTTACATCATGTGCAATAGACCATGTTTTCTACCTCAGTGTTTTTCAACCTTTTTGTAGTCGAGGCACCTCCTACAATTGCACACAACCCCGAGGCACATCAGTCTGAGGTGTATCCGAGCCCAAGCCCTTTTTTGTGTTTTCTGTTTTTTATTAGACTGCTCTATGTTTGTGAAACATGAAGAAAACATGCTGCCATGATTTTTAAATTGAGCCCCATCAAAACACATTGTGCTGCGGTACCATGTGTTTAAGTGGGCGCAAACAGACATGCAATTGGTGGAGGTGCCGGTAGGATTTCTGGCACCCGTGCGCAACTGCAAAAGGCAATGCATTTTTTGTATGCTGTGGGAAAAACGTGATTTCACACATTTTACTGCACTAAAATATAGGTTTTTTGTGAGGCAGAGTTAAGTGGGCAGTAGGTTGCAAATTACCTCCATCCCCTGCTAGCACAACTCTCCCCAAAAAATCCCCTGTCTAGCACAAATGCCCCCTCATGATACAAACCCTCCCTCTAGCACAAATCCCCCGTTAGCCAAAACCTCCCTTCCTAAATCCTCCCTTCTAGCATTTCTTTGCCCTTGCTACAGCAAAATGACACAAAGCCCTGAACAGCCTGACCATGAAAGGGTTACTGTGTTAAGTTCTGTGTACAGAGAAGAGGGACAGCTTATCCCATTCCTCCTCCAGGCTCTCTCTCCCTCCCTGCTGTTATCTGTACAAAAGTGAAAGCTGTGTAAGCCCCCCCCCCCCCCCCACATTCCCTTAGCAACCATTGATGTTATTGGTTGGTAGGACACAGGCGGGTGGCCTTCACAGCTTTCACTTTTGTCGGCAAAAGTACAGAGAACAGCATGGAGGGAGAGAGAGCTTGGAGGAGGAATGGGATGAGCTCTCCCTCCTCTCTAGAACTTCACCCAAAACTGAACTAACTCTAAACCTACTCGCAGCCACATTCTTGGTGTCACTGGGCCCCATTCTTCTTATCATTGGGATGAACTGTGCCCTATTGTTGGTGTCATTGGTGGGAATTGTGCCCAATCATTGGTGTTCATTGGTGTCAGTGGATTAAATGGTGTCCTACAGACTTTAGGGGGGACGGACCAGAAAATGTCCCAGCATCAGTGGGAGTAAGCAATGCCCCATCTTTGGTGTTAGTGAGAGGACTTGTGCCCCATCAATGGTGTCATTGGGAAAAATTGTGCCCCATCATTTGTGTCACTGGGCCCCATTCTTGGTATCATTGGGATGAACTGTGCCTTATTGTTAGTGTCATTGGTCGAAATTGTGCCCCATCTTTGGTATTCATTGGTGTCAGTGGATTAAATGGTGACCCAATGGTCAGTTAAAAGCAAGCAAAGGGCTGTATCCGGCCCAGTTTGGAAACCACTGGTCTAGACCATCTAGTTAGTGTAACGACACCCTATAGAAAAACTAAAGTCTAAAACAAGTTTATGTTTATATGGCAGAGCTGTTTACATTACCCATTAATTAACTTATTATTAATTTTGTCACAGATTTTGAACCCAAGAGAGCTTCTTGATGTGCAAACTAACTTAATATTTAGAACCATACCCCAGAAAAAAAATGTGTTGTCTCTATTTCCCCTATATTAAAATAGAACTCCAGGCAGAATTAAAAAAAAAATTAAATCTGCTATATAAAAAAGAGCTGTATGCCACTTTAAGGATCTCTGCCATTTCTTTAATATTTACGCTTTCATTCATGAGAGATAGTATCGCTTTTGCTATACTTCCAGCCTGCTGAGGCTCTCATTCTAAAACTAATCTATCTAGGCCTGTAAAGAAGAAACTGATATACATACCTTTTCTGCAACCACTTAGGTCCGGTCCCACTATGGAGTCCCACTATGGGCTTCAGTGTGTAGGCGTGTGCAGGAGAGGCAGCCAACATCGGAAGCCCCATAGTAAGCCTATGGGTGACTTCAATGCCTAAGCATTTCACAGCCATTGTCAGTTCTCTCCTGCACACAGCATTCACCGCTGGAGACCGAATCATATCAGCTTCAGAAAAGGTATGTATATTGATTTCTTCTTTGCAGGGCTAGGTAGATTAGTTTTAGAATGTGGCTGCAACTAGGTTTAGAGTTAGGTTTTGAGTGAACTTCTACTTTAACACAGTAACCCTTTTATGGCTAGACAGGTTTTTGTGTCATTTTGCTGCGGCACCCCGGGGGACCTTTTGTGGCACCCCAGGATGCCACAGCCCCCGGTTAAAAAAATCTCATGTAAATGGTGTTTTCATTTTATAATAAAACAATGATTTTGTGCAAATCAGATCATTTTCCTATTGTTGATGATTCTAATAATTTTGAAAAATACAATGAGAAGTAACAGTTGACTAATTTGTTGTTCTTATGTCTTTACTACAGATACCTCTACCTTCTGTTTTCAGAAGATGATCTGCTGTCATTAGAAGACTGGGTATTTAATACCGAAGCACATCCACTACCAATAAGTCGTGTACAATCTGTTTGAAGCACAAGAATACAATATATATCTATCCAGTGTTTTTATCTAAAATTGAAATTTTCATACAAAAGAAATTCTATTTTATGAGCTGATTTGAGATACCAGTACTTATGTGAAATAATATCAATATCTGTATCTGACAAATTTAGCACTAAAAGAAATGGTGGCCTTTTGCAGAAAATTCTGCTTTTCATATATATATTTTTTTGAAGTTGGAAATGAGGCAGAACATAGATACACACATTGGTAGGTTTACGTGTATGGAACTCTCTCATACTGCTAGGTGCCAACCTGCATATATGGTCCATGTAATGTAAATCACGTTTGTGTCCTGACAGCGGTGGAACCTGTTCCGTAGCAATCCAAATGGCAGATAATAGGCCCAGGAACACAATGGATGATCCCCTACTCCTGTTTCTTCCTAACAGAGGCCTCTTTCAAAGTAGGAAGCAGGTATCACCTGCAAAGCAAACTTCAGACCAAGGGCGGACTGACAACTCATGGGGCCCCCGGGCAATAGGGGATCATGGGGCCCCTGTGTCCTTGCCCAAACTCAAAAAAGCCTATGAAAAAGGTACCAGGGGCATTCATGGGGCCCCTACTGACCCCGGGCCCTTGGGCAGTGCCCGAGTTTCCAAATGGTCAGTCCGCCCCTGCTTCAGACAGTCCCAACCACTCTGCTAAAGTCTGATGGGTGTTGGCTCCAGGTGGTCTGTCATGTGCTCACAATGATAATATTCAAAACTCAAGGGAAGCTGCTCTCCTTCTAAAAGACCAAAGTAAACTTTATTGATGTTATACAGGGGTAATCTGCCTGCTCTCCTTAACCATTTCACTCCGTTAGGAACTTAACGTACAATTAAGCAATTGGATTATCCTAGTACCAGATAACATCAATAAAATTGACTTCAGGCTTTTAGATGGAGAGTGGCTTCCTTTAGTCTTTGATGTTATACCTGCAAACACAGGTAGAAGATACTGCTTACAGTCAGCCTATGTCTAGCTAAAGCATATGCAGAATGTGTATGTATATATATTATATATATATATATATATATATATATATATATATATATATATGAGTTACGGTAAGATCAGCAGCAAGTAGCATTATCAGTATACTAAGTACTGTTGGAGCTGCCTGTTGGGGTCCATGGAGGTTTGCCCTGCTTTACGACAGGGCTTTGTGGCTGCTGGCATTTGGGGTGGTAAAATGTTAAAGGCTTGCCCCTCCCATCAGAGGTTCTAAGTTTACATATCTAATGATTTAAAATGATTAGTTTGTACATGTCCTCTTAAGTAATGCACTGTTTTACTTTTTAAATCAAGGACAGTCAATTTGCTCTGGTCATTGAATACATTATATGCAGAGAACAACTCTAAGATGTTAGGAAAGCTGAAGCTATGAACTAAACATGCAATATAAATTCTATGTACTAAATAATGGCTACACAAATCTGCATTCTTTCATTCATAATAAGATATTTTGACTTGTTCCTTTAAAGGGTGGCCTTGAGTGATATATCAGCTTCTGTTATATAAAAACATTGAGGGTTCCATGTGATCATGCTGGCAATAACTACTGTATCAGGATGGTTTACCCATTTATAAAAGGCATGTATAATAAGTGCAAGCCTTGATAACCCAGAACAGCATGCCTGCTGATTTTGTGAAAATATTGTATGAAGTTGTCTACAGAAAGTTACTCCTTCTATCTGCCTGTAGTCAAAGGGCAAACAGGACATATGCAATCTTGGGTTAGAGATATCTCTTGTCTTTGTTGTTGGACCATATTTCCCACAGCCCCCTATGCTAAGTTTTGGTAGTAATTACTGCACAGTTTGAATATTGTGTTTTCAAAGTTTTCAGCAATTGAAAGAAATCATTGTCTAAAACTTTTTGGGTACTGCACAAAAGAAATGAAAAGAAACATTGTTTCCTATGCTTTACAGATCTTAAACAACTCAGATAGCTTGTCACAATAGGCTCTCAATGTATATTTTGACCATGTGACCATGTTTGTTTCAAAATTCTTTATTGGTATCAGTGTTCTGTTATTGGAAACCATCGAAGAAACAATATTATTGTGCAATGTGCCTTGAAACGCATTTATATGCTGTGTCAAAGGATTATTATTCCCTTCATTATAAAATCATGATATCTTGCCCACATGGTCTTCATCATAACCTTGTTTAGCAGGAAGTTGGCAGACAAAGGAATTATTTTCTCATGTTTAGCACGTCAAATTATCACTCAACCAAAACAGTGTACTAGGTAAAGACTACAGCATATCATTCAGTATCATTCAATATACAGATTCCCTGTAATATTTGTTTAGATAACTCAAGTTCTGATTATTTAAGCTGCTTGGTGGAAGAATGTGGATGGCCAAGAGCTGGTTTGTATTCTCCTTTATGACTACAGCCAGCTGGGAATCTAATCGACTCTACTTTTTATTTTTTTTTTAAGTACTGCATGTATATTTTTTAGTTTGAAGCACAAATGCAGCAACAATAAATAATGGCCACTTGATGCAGCCAATAGTGGCTAAATCTCCCATGTCATGTTTATGGCACCAGTTGAGACATCTCTGGCTAACCGGGGAAAGAGGATTAGTTGAACTGTTTATTGTTCTTAGAAATAAACTGATGCACTGGAGGCATTTCTTCTCTACCTGCTACTCCATGCTTCATACTATAAATATGCATGCTCAGGTGATGCTAACCTGCATGTTTATGAATGAAGCTTCAGAAAAAAAAACCCTCTTATAGTTTGATCTTGCCTTCACATCCAACCATCATCTCCAGCCAACTTGAAATTTGAACAAACCGGTAATGCTACAGTACTCACATTTTACTTTTGTAACTGCAGTTTATGCATTTAGGTCTTATTTAAGTATTAGAGTTATACATATCTTTACCATAGGTTTTGCAACAAATTATTTACCTAGTTGCAGAAATTGCTAGTGAGTTTGTAGGGCTGTTTCATTTTTTTTCTTTTTTTTTTTTTAGATGTGGATATAGTTGTGATAGTTTGCAAACCAAGCTTAGTAATTTAGTACTTCTAGTAGATCTCAATCACATAAATACCTACAATGAAGTGAATATTGTGCACATTTTAATGTTTTTCTTTTTAAAACAAGTCCCCAGAATACTAGTTTAACTAGTTATAAATGGATGCATCTTACTGCATTTTAGAAGAATGAGATCTGATGGAGCATGATAAGGTGAATGGTGTCAGTTATGCTATTTTCTCCAGTGCACTCATGCTGCTAATGTTTTTGTAGTGCCACAACACCAACTTACAGTACTGCAAATTATGAGGACCAGGGGTCTCCAAACTTTCGAAGCAAAGGGCCAGTTTACTGTCCTACAGACTTTAGGGGGGCTGGACCGGAAAATGTCCCGGCATCACCAGGGGCCTCCAAACTTTCAAAGCAAAGGGCCAGTTTACTGTCCTACAGACTTTAGGGGGGCTGGACTGGAAAATGTCCCAGCATCAGTGGGAGTAAACAATGCCCCATCTTTGGTGTTAGTGAGAGGGTTTGTACCCCATCAATGGTGTCATTGGGAGAAATTGTGCCCCATCATTGGTGTCACTGGGCCCCATTCTTGGTATCATTGGGATGAACTGTGCCCTATTGTTGGTGTCATTGGTGGGAATTGTGCCCCACCGTTGGTATCATTGGTGTCAGTAGATTAAGTAGTGCCCCAAGGGCCAGATAAAAATGCAACCAAAGGGCTGTATCCAGTCCCTGGGCCGCAGTTTGGAGACCACTGGTCTAGACCGTCTAGTTAGTATAACGACACCCTATAGAAAAACTAAAGTCTAAAACAAGTTTATGTTTAAACGGCAGAGCTGTTTACATTACCCATTAATAAACTTATTAATTTTGTCCCAGATTTTGAACCCAAGAGAGCTTCTGATGTGCAAACTAACTTAATATTTAGAACCACACCCCAGAAAACAATGTGTTGTCTCTGCTTCTCCTATATTAAAAGAGAACTCCAGGCAGAATTAAACAAAAAAGTAAAATCTGCTGTGTAAAAAAAAGCTGTATGCCACTTTAAGGATCTCTGGCATTTCTTGAATATTTATGCTTTCATTCATTAGAGATAGTATCACTTTTGCTATACTTCCAGCCTGCTGAGGCTCTCATGCTCAGAAGCTGCAGTGTTGCTTATTTGCCCCCTTCTTTATTTGTAAATTCACAGAAAGTCTTGTATTTTTGGAATGGCTTACAGAATAGAATTTATTCTGTGAATGGACAAGAGGAGAGGGGGTGGATAAACATCACTGCAGTTTCCATGTATGATAGCAGCAATGGGCCGGTAGTGTAGCGGCTATTTGGACTGCATGAAAGTGTAAGTATTAAAGAAATGACAGCAGTCCTTAATGTGGCATTCACTTCTCATTAACTTTATTAGATAGCAGATTTTAATAAAAGATTTTTCCTTTTCTACTTCAAATGATAGAAATAGCTGCCATTACTGACATGAAGTTGTATATTCCTGGGCTGTCATCCTGATCCATGCCAAACCATGCTGGGTCTGTTCCTTCCATTGCATCATCAGGACCGACACATAAAGCATGGAACTTAAAAGCACCTAACCAATTATGGCATGCTAAAAAGGAGGTATGGTGCCACTAGACCTGTCCATGTGTGACTGTGTGAGCCTAGGAGATCCCATATTGGTATGGTTTTTTTTTTTTTTCACAGAAAGGACTTTTTAATTTTATTTTATATGGCCACGCAAAATACAAACATCACTTAACATAATTCTTCTGTTGTAATTAATAATAGAAGCACTGGGGGCTTAGTGGACAGGATTGTGGCATTAATGTGCTCAGATCTTGAATTTAATTCCCATTAAGATACTGTGTCCATGGGATCTGTATGTTCATTGTGTGTCTGGTTTAGTTCTGGATCCTTCATTTTTCCACAATCCAAACATATAGGTAGGTGGGTAGCTAGCAACTGAATTTTGCTTTCTTTAGCAATTCAT